TCAGGACAGTCGACTCTTCCGTTGATAATCTTGTGCAGCAGGACCGTGTCAGCAATGAGTCTACGTTCCTCCAGCGACTGAAGACCAAGTGCCAGGGATATAGTGTCAATGGGCACCTGAAGGTATGGGAATCCCATCTTGAAGCCCACCATTCGAACAAATCTTCGTTGAATTTTCTCCAGCTCATTTATTAGTAACTTTTGATGAGGACTCCATATTGGTGAACCATATTCGAGAGTTTGCCTCACCAAGGCACAGTAAAGGGACTTTAGAGCTTCTGGACTGCTGAGCTGCTTTGAGAAACGGAAGATGAAACCGAGCGTTCTGTTTGCTCTACAGCTTTGTCTAGTTGTCATAAATATTTGAGCAAAGTTTCAATTTCATATGCTTAACCACTTTTCAAAAAAAAATTAATAAGTGAAAAAAACCAAAATGACGGCTTTGTGGGTATAACTACTAAAAAAATCCACTTCCGGACAATTTAAATATGATATTTAGATATGTTTCTTACCCAGGAACATTGCCCTAAAATATTGCTAGGGAGTTCCGGGACACCCTGTATATTATATCTGACTTGGTGGAAATAAATGAGTTATATTGCAGAGCTTTATCTGTGAGAAATTTTATGAAGAGGTGGCAAACCGGCATATCGGTCCAGGGGGTGGAAAAAATACCCTTGTCCGCCTACAGCATTCTTGACACATAAAATTCACACTTTGGGCTCTCTAAAAGAATGAATTCCCCTTTTAAAATGTTAAAATCTACACATTAGTTTCATCAATACGTATTAACGTAGATAAAATTAAAAACGATTTTTTATTTTAAAAAATATTACTCTTATAACTTCTAGAAAGCCTCTTAACACACTCCCTACTTATTACTCATTTCAATGGCCCTTCTACGAGACCGAAAGGAACTTTCCACGAGAAAACTCTTGGATCCCATTTGGTCGACAACCATAATCGTTGACATACAATTTGGTCGAAAATGAAACTGTTGACTACATGAGATGTCGAAAAACGGGTATATTTTAGTATCGAACACATGGGCTGTCAACCGTCTGGGATCCCACGAGGAAAGCTGGCTAGTTGTTGTTATTCCGTGGTTTCGAATAAATAACCTGCCAAATTGCTGCCACGTACAACCTTCCTCTATGTGCGATAAGCTGAACAAAGGCCTGCTACAGGATAAGACAGAAACTCGAAGTTCTTTACCCACGGGCATCTCAGCTTGCGCATGCGCAGAAAGCTCTTGGAGCACTTTCCAAGGTAACTGTTACTTCTGATGTGTATTAGCATCGCACAGCTTTCAGCTGTAACTGTTATTCATTCCTTGAATTAAGTTATGGTTACAGTTAACGCTGTACCAATTAGAAGTACGTGATCGGATTTCAATAATAAATTCATCTTGGACTCGGACTGGACATTGTAACCTACGAAAATGGAATAATAAAAATAGGAAATAGATTTCTGAATATATGTAAGTTGTTTTATGTTAGAGATCATTTATACACCAAAATGTTTGTTTTCTTGAAAAGTATTTTAATAAATTGATTACTCGGGCATTAATTAAGTTAAATAATAGGTGTGTTAATTGATAGCTTAGTATGAAAAAAAACAATTCAGCACAATGTCATTAAGATGGAGACAAGCAAGCTACAACAGTATTTTATTTTATCCTCCATAAGAATAACAAGAAAATTTTAAATTCACTTTTTTTATTTTGTCTGTAATTGTTAGGCATATAACAACGCTTCAAATCAAATAAAAAAACCCCTTTGACAAAAATGGTCTGGAAATTGCAAAATTTTGTTTTTAGGGTGAAAATTAATGGAAAAAACTCATTTTTATCCCATAAAACCCCAATAACCCATCCCACTCAAAACAGACATAGACATAATGACAAGAAGAATAAGAAAGTTTATTACAATTGACCAAGTTGTACATGGAATAAGCATTGTCAAATTACATTAAATAAAATATTATTATATTAATAAACATGCTCATATCTATAGGTACCGTAACAAAGATTGAGGATACCGATTGAGAATTCTTAATTTATAGTATGAAAGATTCCGCTTTAATTTTATACTTCATGAAGTCCTTAACTGAGTAGAATGGGTTAGCTCAAGTGGCTGTGGTTAGCTGCAAGCCAGTTATAAATTTTTGACTTAAAAAGAGGAAGAGAAAGGCTGTCTGCCTGATGAGGCTCAGGCAGCTTATTATATACCTACATTATACAGGGTGGCGCAGATGGATCGGGTGGTTTTAAAATATTTGTCAAACTGCCAATTTTAAAGGTATTGGATTGAAATAAAGTGTAAAACGTGTAGTTACAATGGAAGTTTATTGAAAAAAAAAATTAGTTAAGTTTTTAAAAATTATATCCATCAAATGCCTTCCTTCTCGAGCGACGCATTCTTGGAGTCGGACCTAGAGGTTCCGCATTGCTCGCTCAAGCACATCACCAGGAATTGATGTGATTTCGTTGTGAATTGCAGCCTTCAACTCCTGAAGCAAGGGTCTACATGAACAAACCCCGGACCATTCAGGAGTTGAAGGCTGCAATTTACAACGAAATCACATCAATTCCTGGTGATGTGCTTGAGCGAGAAATGCGGAACCTCGAAGACCGACTCCAAGAATGCGTCGCTCGAGAAGGAAGGCATTTAATTGATATAATTTTTAAAAACTAACTTAACTAATTTTTTGTCAATAAACTTCCATTGTAACTACACGTTTTACACTTTATTTCAATCCAATACCTTTAAAATTGACAGTTTGACAAGTATTTTAAAACCACCCAATCCATCTGCGCCACCCTGTATTATACATACATTATATTATACTATATACCTACATTATATTATATTAATTATATTTCATTATATATATTACCTATATTATATTAAATTATATTATTCATTATATTATATACCTACTATTATATAGACAAGGACAACTGTCTAAGTCTAAATGGTTTGGGCCCACACCTCACTCCTATCAAATAAACCTAGACTCACCAAATCTGTAATCTAACAAATTCACACACAACTCGACCTAACATAGACCTAGGCATTTATTAACAATCACTCTTTATTGAGGAATCAGAAAAATTAGTTAAGTGAACATTTAACACTTCATAATAATTACACACAACATTTATTTGTCAATACTTAATAGCAAATCACTTCAGCTTCAACACTTTCATTTTCATAATAATAATAAAACTTGACTTTTCAAGCAGCTCAGGTCAAAAGTAGACTTCAGACACCGAAACACTTTCACATTCACACTCCACAGTTCGCAACTGCAACTGTTAAAAGCAACTACTATCTAACACTCGACGTTCTGTACCCACGAGCACCTCAGCTTCCACAAGCACAGAAGGCCTTCGAACAGTACTTGGGATAACAGGTGTTTGTGTAATAGCTTCAACGTATATCTTTATTGGACCTGTTTCTGTTCAGATAGTGTTTTTTTTTCAACAGTTACAGCGAACTGTGCATTAGTGCATTGTGATTTTGAAAAGGTGTTTATTCTTTAATCTGTACTGTTTGTTTACTTTTGACTTGAGCTGCTTGAAAAGGTGTTTTATGATTATGAAAATCAACGTTTTGTGAGTGTGCTGAAGCTGATTTGTTAATAGGTATTGACAATTAGCCTAAATGTTTTGCGTGCATGAATTAATTATGAAGATTTAAATGTTTACTTAACCTATATTTTTCGGATTCCTCAAGAGAGAGTGATTGTTAGGTTAGGTTAGGTGTTTTGTGTGAATTTGTTAGATTGCAGTTTTGGTAGTGGTAGGTCTAAAGTTAGCCTCTAAGGTAAACTTAACTTAGGCATACTCTTATTAATAGATAAGATAATAATTTTACTTTTTTAAAGGCAATAACTTAGACCTAAACTCCACTGAAAGGCCCAACTAACTTAATCAAAATAAACCTTGACCTACCACTACCAAAACTCCAATCTTACAAATTCACACACAAACGCAACTCAACCTAACATTAACAATCACTCTTTCTTGAGGAATCCGAAAAAGATAGGTTAAGTGAACATTTAAAACTTCATAAATAATTCATGCACGCAAAATATTTAATTGTTAATACCTAATAACAAATAATCAGCTTCAGCTCACTCACAACACTTTAATTTTCATAATCATAAAACACCTTTTCATCAGCTCAAGTCAAAAATAAACATAAACAAACAGTAAAGAATAAACACCTTAAAATCACAATGCGAATGCACAGTTCGCAACAGCAACTGCAACTGTTGAAACGAAACAACTATCTAAACAGGTCCAATTAAAGATATACAGTGAAGCTATTACACAAATAGCTGTTATCCTGTGCATGTGGAAGCTGAGGTGCTCGTGGGTACAGAACGTCGAGTCTATCTAACCTGGTCCAAGAAAGTTAAACAGTGAAGCAATTAAACAAATAGCTGTTATCCCCACTGAGCTATAATTCTAACTGGAGGTAGCACTGAATGTCAAAGATGCGTGTCGCCAGCCGCCATGTTTGCGTGAGGTGTGAGTTATAAGAAGCCATATTATTGCTATGGCTATTATTATACTTGGCTTAAAATACCTACTTTGTATGGTCGCCATTTCAAAGAAAATTATTAAAGTATTAAAAGTATTCAAGTATAACAAAAATACTCACTGCTATACCAACCTAGTTATAAGAAGCCATGTTATTGCTATGGTAAGAAAACTTACTGCTATACCAACCTAACAAAATCAGCGACTCGCTTTTAACAGACTTCTGCCATGGCAGTGCTACCTCCAGTTATAATTTTAGCTCAGTGGTTATCCCAGGAACTATTCCAAGGCCTTTTGTGCATGTGGAAGCAGAGTTGCACGTGGGTATAGAACGTTGAGTAAGACAGGACACAAGGATTGAACTGAAAGTCAGTGAAAGTGGATTATCGGAACCGGAACACTGGAATTGAACGGAACATGGAACTGACTGAAACACTGAAACCAGAAACTTTGAAACTGAATCAATTTTTCGATTAGAAAATAGAATTCAGTCTTCGTCTCTTACTCTTACTTAATTTTGCTAAATCAGCAATTATTCAAGTCGTTTTTAGTAATGGTGATTCTGTTTACTTATATCTAGATCTTTTGGTTCAAGTTTTATTTTATAAGTGAGTATTTAGATTAAGTATTATCTTATTATAATACTTCAAATGTTACCATAGCTTACTGCATGGCAACACATTAATGACAAACTAGGCTTAAACCTATTTTGGAATTTGAAATTATGGATGCGTCAACACCGATGAAGTCATATATCTTCTTACGTGGTGATTTATGAATTATCCCTTTCCTAATAACTTTACAATTTGAGTTAAAATATGGTTTAGGCTTGAGGTGGATTACTTTAATAACTTGAGGCCCATGGTAAGTTACCGGTATCTAAAAAGTATTAGCCTAACTTTAAACACCCTGGTCAAACATGGCGGCCTAATTTATACCGGATGACTAAGTTGTCCACCGGCAACCAGTTCTTGTTTAATCCTAATATGTTATATCATTGTTACTATTGATGACACCACCTTTTTAGCCACCTAAGTTAATACTGGAAAACTAGTCCCACCCTAGACCAGTGTCTAGGCCTAATCTCAATCAAATTTAGTCCCTGGGTAGGCTAGGACTAGGTCTAACTAGACTAAATAACTTTTGCTAAGTTTAGGCCCACATTTGCCTGAAGAGTTATTAGGCCTACAATTTTCAATATCTAACTTAGCCTATGTTAGTGTCAGCGAATTTGAGAGTTGCCAATGTCTGATCTAAACCCTGTTCAACATAGGTAGGCTACAAGCTCTCGGCCTACTACAATAGGCTATCTTCAGTTTAAAAGCCTATTGAGCTCCTTTCTAGCAATTAGCTATGATTGTGTTATGTTATGATTGGTTTTCTATTAAGTTTATACCCGTAAAGGGCCTTTCAACTAGAACTTCGATCAATCAACACTCATGTAGGCTACCTAACTTAATTGCCAATAACTTAAGAACCTCTTATAGGCCTAGGCCTTTGAATATTTATCGTAACTAAATTTTTACTTATTAGGTTCTATATGTGTTACGCAGCAGTTAAAACAAATATAAATTATTCAATAAGTTGGGCTAAGTTTATGTTTATTACTTCTAGACTTAACCCTTTGCACTCCGACCTCCTATTTTTTGGACGTTGTCCAAAAACTCCGTGGTCCGATCACTTACATCGGACGTCAGCAAAATGTCCTGAAAACTCCGACGTCCGAAATATCGGACATCAGTAGAATCGATCGTACTGGCTATAGGCTATAAATAGTCCAAACGCGCTAATATTATGACATAGGCTATTTGTTAGAAAGAGCTGTGAAATATTACTCTAGGCCAATGCCTTTTTTTCTTCATACGTAATGTAGCCGTAATTTTTGCTTGTCATCTTTTTTTTCGCGGTGTATGGCGCTGGCCGGCTGACGCAATCCAGCTGTCCTCCAGTTAGTGGGAGGTCGGTGTTTGTTTGCTGTTTGCATTGTTGTTGTTTAGGTACTGCTAACTTAATTTCTATTTACGGTTGGTTTTTTAGTACAATTTTAAGCTTTTATATATTTTAAGTTTATAATGCAAGATTCTGACAGTTCTGATGAAGATAGGCCTATTTATAATAACAGACGACAATCACAGGTTAGTGAAAATGCAATGTTCAGAAACGTAGTGGAATCTTGGTGTTGGTGTTTACGATGACTTGAGTGACATTTTTTTGGAAAACATATCAGATTCTGAAACCTCTGATTGTGAAAACGAAAGTAATGTTTTGTCAGGGTTTGATGATGATAGGCTACTGATGAAGACCCTAACTATATTTTATCAGAGGAAGAGAAAGTTCAGATGAAGATGCTCAACCTACAAAATCTCTTGATAGAAATATGCCTCTTAGTAGGCCTAGTGACATAGCTGAAAGTATTGAGTTTGTAATTTAGAATTCAGGTAGGCCTAGTCCTAATTTAGCTTCAAATGGTAGGCCTAATCCCTCAACTAACCAATTGCATGATACCAATAATGTAGGTTTAGTCCTAAATGTCCTTGAAGAAAATGTAAATGAGTCTCTTTTGAACAATGAAGTAAATGTATATGCACCCTTTTTTAACTTGGATCTTCTTATTTGTATTTTAGGAATAGGAGTAGTAGGAATAGTAGTAATAGGAATTTCTTATTACATCTTCAATCGTAGCATGAACTGTATTCATGCTACGATTGAAGATGTAATAAGAAATTCCGAACGTTGCAAAACCCCTAACCCTGACCCTGATATTCCACCAGATATGGACCCTAATAAAGAAGAATGGGAACCTGTCCATGAAAGTGATGACCCTGGAATTGACCATAACATTTTATTTTCAAACAACCTGGTCCAAAGCACTGTCCTCCTCGTGATTGTGGACCGATTGATTATTTTTATTTATTTTTCACGGTTACAATCCTAAAAAAATTTGTAAGAGAAACAAGCAGGTATGCTAATCAGTACATCAAATCACATAGACATAATTTGACTCCTAATTCTAGAGCCCATAAATGGAGACCGGTAACACTAGCTGAAATGAAGGCATTTATTGCAGTAATTCAAATATGGACCTAAATAAGAAGAAACCGACAATTTAGAGCTAAGTTACTGGGCAACCTCTGACTCCCAATATACTCCCTGGTACGGAAAGATTTTTTGCCGATCTCGATTTGAAAGTAGGCCTATTATTCAATTTTTTCATATGGTAGACAATTCAAATTTGCCTAAAATTGGGTAGGTAGCCTGGATATGACCCATGTGCAAAGAAGCCCCCGCTAGAAGCCATCAACAGACTGTTTAGATTGCACTATACACCACACCGTGAGTTGTCGGTAGATGAAAGTTTAATCGGAACTAAATCAAGGCCTCAGTTGTTGCAATACCTCCCAAACAAACACCATCACAAATGGGGTGTAAAAATATGGATGCTGTGTGATTCCATTTCGGGGTATTGCCTTGCGTTTTACTGTTACAAGGGAACCAAAAGTACCTACTGGGCAGAAAACCACTACAGAGAACCAAAAAACCTGCGATGTATTAAGTTATCGTATTAAATATCGATTAAGATTCAATGATATAGATTCAGTTCCGTATATCGTTTCCAAAATATATGTTTAATTCCAATGTAAACAAACATGGAATTGGGTAGTGATCTGTTTACAAATTGTATTGATATTTTAAATGTAAACATCGAGTTGAGTTACTTATGATTGGTTTACGTTTTTGAATATATAAAACTATCAATATTCAACCAAAAGCAGACTGGCAATATAACTTCACGTCCTTTAAGGTGAGAGATAGGCTATTCTCAAAGGTGATTCACAAGATTGTCAGATGTTAAACCACTTTTTATTGGCCTTTTTAAAACCATTTTAAGAGGTAGGCCTAAACATTTGGGATAAAATAAACAAGCAACTTCATCATTAATTTTTTATTGGTTTTTATTTAAACTTGTATCAGATGGTAGCCTACGATACAATTAGGCTAGTTCTGATTGTTTTCCTGTCTCTGCTCTGCTCCTCCTCGTCGTTAACAGCCAAGTATAGTACCCATTTCTACCGACTACTTTCCCATTCTTGCTGGGTAATTACCCATGAATTACCCTTTTACCCGTCTAATTATCCTTTCTCCCCTATGATTAACCATGTTTTATCTCCCCCACCTAAAATTCTTTAAGAAACTTGTCTTATTGATGTCCTAGAATAAATTAAAAGTGATTTTAGAACATCATTTAAGCTGGGGTCTGGGTCCTTAATAAGTACAGTGAAAACGATTAAGATAGCTGACAAAACGTGATCGGAAATGGTTGCAGTACTGCAACTAAGTTGACCCTTTGCACTCCAGCCAAAAATGTTGGTCCTAGCCAAAAATGCCGGTAATTTGCCGGATAGTACTAGCCACAAACTCCAGACATTTTTACTAATTTTTGTAAGCGTTTGGTAAAATTTATGTAGCACTAATGATTGTTGAAAACGCAAAATGAAATGAAAATGTCGGGAATATTCAAAAAGTAAATATATTCAACCTCATTCATTTTTACTAAAACATGTCATGCAAAAGTCAATCAATCATGCAAACACAAGACAAAAAAACTATTTACAAACAGGAATTATTTGGCACATTTATGTTCGCTGTTGCAAACACCATGTTACCGCTTGGGGTTGGTTTTATTGAATTCCGGTTAATATTTAGGACAGGAATTGCTTTCCCCCCACTTATTATCCACCAAAACTTCATTTTATTAACTTTTTACACAATTTCACACTTTGGGAAAAGTGTTTAAGCTGAGGTCTGGGTCCTAAATTTTTTGTAGGATTAAAAACCTTGTGACTTACGTCCGTTAAATTCTACAATGCTTGGAAACTGGAACTTTTAAAAGATGATCGATTTAAGTTTTCATGGTTTCCATGGTAAAAGTTTAGTCATAACTTAGGGTTTATTGTGTTTTGCTGTAGATGGCAGAAGCAACAGATGTGCGTAAACTGGTTTACGCTATAGTAAAGTTCCTGAAGTCGCAACTAAATGACGGTGGCCTGTCAGGAGAATGTGCAGAGGGGGTGGAAGTTGGAATTCAGTGTCTTGAGGCAGCTTATAACATTGATTCGTCAGAAACTTCTCTGGATGTGCCTTGTGGTCTCAAGCAAATATTTGACAAGTACCTAGCAGAAATTGTGAGTATTATAGGCTATTTAATAAAGAATTATTCCAATAATGTGTTTGGATGTTAAAGCTCATTTTATCAAACAGTAAATGAACTAGCTGTTTTACCATATCTAGAAATATATTTACTGTCCTTCAGTTAAATTATTGCTAGGTGATAATGATTACTAAACTAATGATTAGTAAACTTACAGTTAACCAAACTTATCAATTACATGATCTGCAAAGGTTCTCCTTAACCTTCCGTTGGGCGCATTGATTTTCAAACACCAAAGGGCGCTCACAGAAGTTACCTCCGGGAGTACAAAAACTATACATTGATGAGTAAAAACATTTTAATAGCAATAAAACTGTAATAAAAACATTTTTTATGAGTTATTAAGTTACACTATTACTTAAGTTGTAAATCAAACAGAAAATGTTATAATAAACATTAAAAATACTTAAGTGTTGTGGATAAAAAAGACTTGCTTTTTGAAACATATACAGTACTATCGTATATTAGGAAAAAAATTGTAATAGTGTATGACATAAAAACACGTATGGTCTAATGAAAATAATCATTTGTTACAAGGACAACTCATTGGATCAAAGCTCTTAGACAAAAATTGCATCAGTGTATGACATAAAATCACCTATGGTATTGTAAAAAAAAAAAATCATTTCATAAGGACAACTGACTTTGTCAAAGGTCTTACAAAAAATCGCAACAGTGTTTGAAATAAAACACCTAATATCTAATGAAAAAAAATCATTTGTTAGAAGGACTACCAAATGACTACCATTTTGTCAAAGCTTTTTCCTGAAAAAAAGTTCCCGAACAAACGCACCATTAGGTCTTTCCACTAAATGAGGTAACTTCCGTGATGCGCCCGTTGGAAGGTTAACCCTTTGAGCCCCAAGTGCCGATTTATCGGCATGTCAATATGGTGCTGAAAATGACACAGTGCCGATAAATCGGCACCCCAAGGTCATGAGCAGAAAGACAATATGCCGAAATATCGGCCATCTACTATTTTATATAGTACAGCGCTATTTTAACGTATTTTGTGCATCAGAAAACGTCATTGCGTAGCCAAAGCATAAATAAAATATGTTACAAGTAATATTTTGTAAATTTTTATTTTATATAGTACATATTATTGTTTCTAAAACGATATCGGCAGGCTGTGTCGTCTGTATCGCTCAGCTGTCTCATGAGTCAGCAACTCTGTTGATTTGTTGTTGTTTGTTATTTGAGTAACTGCCGGTGTTTGTTATTGTTTTGTTACGTGGATACCGTTATTTTTACTACAGATTTGTGTTGTTTGAAGTTTATTTCAAAAGTTTTATTATTCTTTTAGTGAGTTTATCAAAACATCATAATGGTAATCAACTATGAACTTAGTTATCAACTATGAAACAACTATGAACTTGACGTAACTGCATAAGTATTTGGGTGCATGCTATAGCCCTTGCATGGACATGGAAACCTATTTTCATAACTAACTAACTAACTTAGGCCTAGTTCCTTTCTATAAGTTCTTTATCCTTTATTTCTTGCATGTTGACTGTTTTTATTTGTCTCAAATATGAGTAAAAAAAGAACTAGGGCAGAATCTCCTGTTAGTGAAAACACACTGTTGAATAATATTGAAGAAGCTGGTTTGAATGTGATTTCTGATTATAATAGTGACAATTCCGATGAAAGTAATAATATTCTAAGCAGTTCTGATACTGATTCTTCTTCAGATGTTGTTGATGACACGGATGATGATCCCACTTATGATCCAGTGAACAGTGATATTAATGGTAGGCCTAGGCTTAGCTTCTTGTCAGAACGTAGGCCTAACTGGTCCTATCACTTATATTCAGGGCCGGTTTAACCCATACGCAAACTAAGCGGCCGCATATGGCGCCACGAAAAATTGGCGCCGTGGTGCCAACTGCCAATTTCTTTTTTTTAGTGAACAACGTAATTTTGTTTATTTTCGCTCAGAGTTAAAGTATTCAAAGCACCACAATAAAGGCATTTATTCTGTTTGTACCAACAGCATATGAAAAATGCGTAAATGTGTACAGCACTACAACTCAAGGACGTAATGCCATTTGTAGTTTCGATTTGTAGTGAGCTGACGCTCGGCAGTCGGCAGCGTACTACAGCGCGCGGCGCCTGTGGGTTTCATTTCATGACTCATGTTCTGAACCACATTCTGATGTCCTGAACCAGATTGATACCAACTCTGCAATTAAAGAATTTGCCAAGATCAAAGCTAGGAAAATTAATTTTTAACTGCTTAGAGCTTTTGAACTGTTCAAATTGATAATTTTGTATTCTCTTTTTGTCAAGGTAATAAATTTGGTTTTTCATGTTTTCTTCATGTTTAATGTGTTCAATTAAAAATTCCTCTCTTGTCATCTATCTACACCTGTTTTTCATTGTAATAGGCTTTAACTTATATCGTATCCAAGTTATCCTGTAATAGTATATTACGTTTCTAGTCCTGAAAATAAGTGTTTACCGGACGAGTGTGGTCGTTCCCGTGCGAGACGGTCGAGTACGGGATTACCATACGAGTCCGGTTAACACATTTTTGGACAAGTTACGTACGATAGTTATTTACGCCATACTACTAAATCTGTACAAATCCTTACATATTACCAGTTACCACCAACTAAAGGACTAAAAATCACTAGTCATAACCTTTGAGAGAGGTTATGATTTTGTTTATAATCACTCATTGTCACCCAAATACAGTGTAATCAGCTGATTGGTGTCTGGTAAAACACATTACAGTACAGTAGTACGCAATGAAACCCCATTTGATTAAGCTGGCAGCAAACAGCTGTTTTCTGGACTAAATCCTTGTGTGGGAAGTTCGTCAAAATAGTGTAGTGTGGCGTAAATTGTTTTCACATTTAGAAATAAATTGTTAACTTAGGTCGTGATGCTCTTCAAGCATGACGTCACGATAGAAGACGGCAATGACGTAGGTATTTATTTTCCAAGGAAAGATTAAAACAAGCAGCTGATCACAAACGGCAAAAATTACGTCATTGCCGTCTTCTATCGTGACGTCATGCTTGACGAGCATTACGGCCTGTTTTTTTAGTGTAGCCTTGGTTTTGCTAAAGTTTATACGATGAGTAAAAGTGTAAAAATGTTAAATTCCTGGGAATAATAAACAGTCTTTTATTGCAAGTATTCTTCTAACCTAAACTTATAAAAAAGTTCTTCTCAAAATCTTTGGGAAAAATTTCACAAATAGAGTTAAGTAATGTTCATGGGTTGAGGGTGGGGTGGTGGGGGGGGGTTTCTAAGTGGCGCTGATTCGGGTGTTCGCTTAACTCTGAAAAATTCCTAGAACCGGCCCTGCTTATATTCATCTGATGAAGAATACGTTGATGACGTTGCTCCTTTTGATCAACTGCCCCAAGGGTCCATGAATCCTGAAGATACTGAAACTGCCGTTGCTCCTATTGATGAATTGCCCCAAGGTTCCTTGAATCCTAATCCTGAAGAAACTGAAACTGTCACTAGGCCTATGTTCACTGGTACTCCCCCTAATCATACTGTCAGAGGTGTTCCGCAAAGGCAAAGAGGTAGGCCTAGTGAAGTGTTAGTCGGCCTAGAGGTAGGGGAAGAGGTAATATAAATACGCCAAGTGGAAGTGGTCACAATCTGACAAATAGGCCTAATAGGAGTAGGCCTCGTCCTCCTGAGCCTGAATCAAGTGACTGGGATGAGGTCAATGATGAAAATGATCCAGGACACCAGCATTATTTTGCATTTGATGAAGTCCCTGGTGTTAGACATTGCCCTCCAAGAAATTCAAAACCGATTGATTATTTTTTTCTATTTTTTACTCATAATTTGCTGACAACGTTTGTAGTGGAAACCAATAGATATGCTGCCAATTACTTTCAATCTCTAGATCATCCATTGTCACCTCAACGTACTCTAAGAAGTTGGGTAAATTTATCAATTGAAGAACTAAAAGGCTTCCTTGCAGTTATATTTAACATGGGAATAATCCGCAAGCCTTCAATTAGAAGCTATTGGAGCCAATCAAACTCACTATCCACTCCTTGGTTTTCAAAAATGCTTACCCGAACCAGATTTGAACTAATTTAAAAATTTTTCCATCTAGTTGATTCAAGCAAACTCGCAAAACGTGGGGAACCAGGCTATGACCCATGTGGGAGGTTCCAACCCCTGATTGATCATTTGAACCGATTATTCAAGTTTCACTATACACCCTCTCAAAAACTTTCAGTTGACGAATCCTTAGTAGGAACCAAGAAACGAATCAATCTAACCCAATATCTACCAAAAAAAAAACACCACAGATGGGGAATCAAACTCTGGGTCCCGTGTGATGCTGTAACGCACTATTGCATGTCGATGTCATGCTACAAAGGAGCTAAGTTCAGAGACGCGGAAAGTGTTGAGCAAGGCCTTGGATTCTATGTTGTAAAAAAGCTTCTAGAAATTTCAAACTGTTTGAATAAAGGCTTTCACCTGTTCTTAGATAATTTTTTTACCACTCTCAGACTTGCAAGATTTTTGTATTCTAAATCAACCTGGTTAACAGGAACCGTTCAAATTGACAGACAAGGAGTTCCAAAACCTTTACGGGGTAAATATGAAGTTGGAAAAAAAACATACCTAAGGAAAGGACCTGCTTTATATATGGCATACAGAGAAAAATCTACCAACAAGAATCAATTTATATTGCTATCAACGAACAGTAAGGCTGGAAATGTAATGTACACTAAACGTAGAAGCGGCAAAGTCATTATAAAAAACAAACCTACTATTGTTCACCAGTACAACAACGGAATGGGAGGAATAGACGGAACCGACCAAATGCTGTACACATACTTGGACGAACGAAGATCAATGAAGCCTTGGAAAAAGGTTATATTTAACATATTTGGACGTATGATGCTGAATTCATATGTTCTTTATAAACTGAACACAGATTCGCCGCTCAGTCGTGTTTCTTTTATTTCAATGCTTATCGATGAACTTTCAAATTCTTGGCTACAAACAAAATTAGGAGTGGTTGGAAATGGAGGTGGAGGTGATGCTCCAAAGGGAAAGGGATTTGGTTTAGAAAAAATACCTGATGGTAAAGAAAAAAACTGTTCCGTCTGTAGTGGCAAGAAAAATCCAGAGGGTAAAAGACGAAGGGCTCGGACAATGTGTTGCATGTGCAAAGCCGGCTTGCACGCCGAGTGTTATAACAACCATCGATGTAACTAATCACATAGTTAAAATAGGCTATCACCTGTTCTTAGATAACTTTTTTACCACTCTCAGACTTGCAAGATTTTTGTATTCTAAATCCTTCAGCTTTTTGTCTAGGCCCTACTGTAAATTCTTATTTTCTTCTTGTTCTGTTACAGTAAGTTCTTGCATGATCTAGATTTCCTTTTTTACTTTGTACTAAGCATGTTTATGTGTTCAGCTTGGGTTCTTTTTGTAAAATCACATATTTAAAATAGGCTATTAGGAAAAATCCTTCAGCTTTTTGTGTAGGCCATACTGTAAATTATTATTTTCTTCTTGTTCTGTTACAGTAAGTTCTTGCATGTTCTAGATTTCCTTTTTTACTTTGTACTAAGCATGTTTATGTGTTCAGCTTGGGTTCTTTTTGTACAATAAAGCCTAGTGTTAGTCGAAACCATAATAGGCTACCTATATTTTTGTCAAACTGTAAAAAAATCATTCAACTTTATAAAACCATGATATATATGCATACCAATTGTTTCTGCTATGTCAAACTAATTTCCAGCATGTTCTGTATATTTGACTTTTTATGTACCATCATGTGTCATTTGCGTTTTCAAGGACCTAAGCGCTAACTTAGACGAGGCAAATACTATAATTTTTTTTTAAATTTAAATTTTCTTTATCTTTTTAAAAACTAAGCTAAGTTAGTTAGTCTATTTATCTTAGTTCATATTGTCAGGTTCTCTCACATTTAATTATTGCATGTTCTGAATGTCTCGCTTTCCAATAACTTAGATTGATAGGCTACTGTAATGTTCACCCATGTTGAAATAACAGAAATAAACTTTTTCCTAAAAAATGTCATAACTTTTTTATTTATTGATATTTTTGCACAAACTTTTCAGGAACTACTTATAATTATATACTAAAAATTAATACAATAAATAATTTTAATTAAGTTATTGCTTCAATGTGGTTTTTACTTCTTAAAATGCAATTTAAAAAAATACACAAATATATTTTTTTTTTATTCTAAAAGGTAATTTTTTTAAATTATTAAATTTTTATTTTTATTTTGTTAATTATTTGTTGCTTAGCTAATAAGCTAAAAGGTTGTACAAAAACCAAGTTTCTATCTTTAAAATGAAAAAAAGTTACAAGTGTTTCTATAGTAACCTGCAAAATTGTCTATTTTCGCCCTGTCATCCTCAGTACCGCTTATTCTAATTGAACCTGTCACCTTAAGAAAATTATCCAGAATTTCCTCAGGGCTCAAAGGGTTAAATAAAAGCCAGCACGCTATTTGACTAAATTAAGAAATTGTCATACTGATCAATTATGTTTCCAAGGATTTCAATGAAATCAGTATTAAAGTACAGCAGTCTTAATCTGCAAGCAATACGTCCCCAATTTTAGTCACTGACTTGATTGTCAATTATGGACATCCACTGCCGCCAACTTAAGTGAAAATGTGATAGGCCTTCTGCAGATTCCTATACGAGTCAACAATTAGGCTTTTTTCTATGGCTACATCAGGAACTAATAAAACATTGTTTAGTGGAGCTGAAAATGAACGTGTCTTTTTTGTTTACAATAATCATTTGTAGTTAATTTTAGGGTATTTTTCTGCATTTCAGGAAAGTGAGAAAGAAGCCTCTCCAGAAGATAAGGCCTCAGCTGAACGTTTGAAGCAGGAAGGCAATAAATTTATGAATATCCAGCAGTTCCAAGATGCAGTAGCTTGTTACACTAAGTAAGTTTTTAACACTTTATTAATAATACTGAAAGAGCTGGTTTAAAACATACAGTTTTTAGTAATGATAAAGTTAAATGTTGAGACAGACGAAGTTAATTTTGTGGAGGATAAGTAAACTGCTGTAGTTTGCTTGCTTATGAACATATTTTGATCAAATTTGGAAAATATTTTTATTTCTTACTAACTATTAACATTTTACAAACACATTTTTACCCTCCCTGTTGCAGCAAACCTAAGTACTCATTAAACTAATTCTATTTAAATAGGGAATAAATGTGATATTTTTAAGGAGACATTTTAGTGTAGCCTAAATCCAATCAGGAGAGTGGAAATTCGCTTAGTCTGCAGGTTTGCTGCGGTGGGGGTATTCTGCAATTTTATTGTCTATTTGATATAAAAAGTTATTTTCATTGATTTTATTGAAAAAAGTTTTGGTCTTGTAGCCTACGTTATGTAATTTAAGTTTAAGAATTTTAAGAAGTTTAAGATGATCCATATCCAGGATTTCCTTCAAATTCCAAAATGAAAGATAGCATTGATTCTTTAAACAATCTATTCAGCCCAGATCTACGTTCCTAATATAAAGATCTGTGTAGTTTCTAAGGTCATAAGAGTAATCTATTATCTTTGATCAAAAGTAATTTCAGTGAGCAGTGCCGGATTTAGGGTACTTGCGGCTCTAGGCCCTATTACTAGAGCGGCCCTCCCCCTTTGGTGGAAATTCCTTGCGATCGCGGAAGTAATCGTGAATATTGCCTAAGCATCAAGAGGACATCATCATCGACACTTGTGATCGTGGATGAAATCGTGGACATCTCTCCCAAACCAAGTCAAAGCCATCATAGGTTTCCGTGACCGTGGCAAAATCGTAAACATCCCCCGCGGGCTGCAACAAAGGGACATCATCCTTGACACTCGTGACTCCGGCGAAATCGTGATCATATCCCATGAGCTGTGACCTTGAGGACATCATCACCATCACCCGCGACCGCAGTAAAATCGTGAACATCTCTCGCAGGCCGCAATCACGGGGACATCATCATTGACACTCGCGACTGTGGCAAAATCGTAAACATCTACCGCGAAGCAGCAATTACGGGGACATCATTATTGAAACTTGCGATCGCGGCAAAGTCGTGTTAAAAACATCTCCCATGGACTGCGATCATGAGGACATCATCACCGTCACCCCCGGCCGTGCCGAAATCGTAAACAAACATCCCCCTCGGGAAACCATCATGGGGACATCCTCATTGACACTCGCGACCGTGGCAAAATCATTAACATCTCCCGTGATCCGCAATCATGGAGACATCATCATCGACACTCGCGACGGTGGCAAAATTGTTAACATCTACCGCAAAGCAGCAATCATAGGGACATCATCATCGACACTTGCGATCACGGCAAAGTCGTGTTAAAAACATCTCCCGTAGACTGTGATCACGAGGACTTTATCATTGTCACCCTTGGCCGTGCCGAAATCGTTAACATCCTCCATCCTCCTCGGGAAGCTATTACGGGGACATCCTCATCAACATTCGCGGCCAGGGTGAAATCATGAACATCTGCCACGGGCCGCAATCACGGGGATATCATCATCGACACTCGAGACAGCGGCTAATTCTTGAACGTCTTCCACGGATTGCGATCATGAGGACACATCACCGTCCCCAGTGGCCGCGGCTAAATTGTGAACGTCTCCCGCGGGACGCAATCACAGTAACATCATCGCCGGCACCCACGGCCCGGGCAAAGTTGTGAACATCTCCCTCGGTCCGCGCGAAGACATCATTATCATCACCTGTGATTGCGGCAAACTGGTGGTTTAAAATAAATTATTTTGTATCTAAAAAAAATTGCTTTAATCAATCCCCTTTTGCTTGCGGCCCTAGGCTGCGGCTAGTGGTAAATACGGCACTGTCAATGAGGGTTTTAAAATTTGGTCAAGGGATCTGACTTAAAATCAGATACACCGATTTATAATGTGTCCTTAAAGTTAAGTGCTACAACAGGCTACAACTCAATTTTTGTCAATTAATTACAGTCTGGTTTAGCAATTACTTAAAAGATTACCTGGAGGACATAGACATGGTAGTGTAGGCCAGTTATGGCTGCATCTACCTACTTAGACCATTGATCAACTAATGCTATCGATTTCCACATTATGGTACAAAACTGTTCTAACTATCCATCAGCATGTACATGTTTCGAATCTGTGATGGTTCATCAGCAGCAGCTAAGACCCTTTTAAAAACTGTCTTTTGTTTAATGTTTGTGTGAACTTGATTTTTTTTTTTATATAGGCCTAATTTAATAATTGTATATGAAAGCGTCAAACTTCTCGCAATGTTATTACTTAGACCATAACAATTTTAAAAAAGGTCTTTCTGCCTCTTGTTAAAAGTAAACCTATTACCAATAAAGCTGATTGAAAAAAATGCTTCTATTTATTTACTGATATTTGTTTATTGAGTAGGTAATGTTTTAAACAATTTTAGCAATAAAAATTTCATTTTTCTAGAGCAATTAACCTTGATCCAAAGAATGCTGTATATTATTGTAATCGAGCTGCTGCTTCCAACCGACTCGGAAATTATGAAAGTGCCATTCAAGACTGTAAGACTGCTCTCAAGTATGACCCCTCTTATAGCAAAGCCTATGGAAGATTAGGGTAAGCTGTGTTAATGATTGAGTATTAGTTTTGGTTTTGATGTATTATGTTGGCAGGGAAGGTTATGTAGGAGCATTTAAACTGCTTAAAAGTGTTGAATCCAAAACATGCTGTATCAAAATAAATGTTAGAACCTCTCGTGTAAAATAATATAAAGCCATATCTAATACAGTGATGTTTTCTGTTGAAACTTGGGAGTTAAAAAAACTGATGCGCTGTGGAGGAAATAGTTTCAATAGTCAATATTAACAACTAAAATGGGAAATTGAAAGATAAGCTTTTCAGTAAATTGAAAATATAGTGTTTGGTGACAAAATAAGTTTTTTTGAGATTTTAGTTTCAAGATCCTATCCCCATATGTTAGTAATAACTACCGGTAACTATGTTGTTGTTGTTGTTTGAACAGATTGGCGTACGCTAGCTTGAATAAGCATCCGGAAGCAGTCATGTATTATAAGAAAGCTGTTGAACTGGAGCCTGATAATGAAAACCATAAGACTAACTTGAGAATGGCAGAAGAGGCATTGAGAAATGCTCCTCAGTCATCACCGATGAATTTTCCTAATTTGGACCTGGCCACGATCTTTACCAATACCAACATTCTCACTATGGCCTCTCAGATGTTATCTGAGCCCTCGATGCAAAACATGTAAGTATTTATATTTATTATATATTCTACAAATTCTAATCAAGTTGTAAGAAATTGGTGCTATGAAGAAAAATTATCAAATCCCAAAGCAATATGTTCTTGAAATTTCTGTGACGGACTTAAAATCTCTCAAAATCAATCTGCAGGGATTTACACTTGCCTGTGATTTATTTGAGGATTTCCGGGCTGTTCAAAGTTAGGTAAAATTAGTGATGTGCCGGTTCCAACGGTTCTCGGTGAATTAACTGGGACCGAGAACCATTGGAAAGTTGTTGGTTCTTCAGTCTGAGGTTCCATAAACTACTGTACGTTTTTTTTAGTTCTCAAAAAGATTAGTTAAATAATTTGATTTAAATGATTAGTAACCATGACAACTTGTTGAATAGGTAGATGAAGGGTTAGCCAAGAAAGAATGGAATAAAGAAGAGAATGAATAATGATGGTTTTATGTTGTTATCTTTACCCCCTTTTTAGGGGTTATCTTATGTTTTATAGGTTTACAAAATTATTGTTTTCAACTATGGAAATATCAATTTATAATTATCAACGTGATTCTCTTCTGAAACAGCATTACCGGATGTGTAATAAAGGTCAATGACCTAAAATATCATTATTGCGCAATGTTGTATTTTTATATAAAAATGCAAATCATGGCATTAATTCTAATTCGAATAATTTTCCTGGTCCCTAGCATTTCACACAGGGTGGCTAGTGACCTGGAAAACCTGGAAATGTCAGTGGGAAAATTCAGGGAATTTTGAGATAAGTCAGGGAAAATTGTAAAAGGCTTAAAATAATTTTAACAATTGTTAGGAAAGGTCGATCTGGTGAGAGTACGTGTGCCGTGTGGGTGAAAACTAAGAAATATGTCTGTGTACAGATAAATTTATTCAGTGACAAACAAAATTGCAGGCATTCAAAGAATTCTAGAATTTGCAATGCAATTGTACACTACCTCCTCAGGGAGGCACCTGCTAGAAGTCTGAAGAAAATCATAAAAGTATGCCTAGGTCGATATGCAGTATGCACACAGTGGTGTAAGTACAATGAGGCAGCCGGCGGCCCCCCCCCCTGGTATATGTGGATGCCCCCGTACCAAAAAGATCACCTCTCATGTTGTTTTTGTTTATCTCAGCAAAAGCCGTGGTCGCGGCAAAATCCAAAAACTTGTGGACGTTCTTTCATCGCTTCCATTGGCCATGGAAACATCGTTATCGTTTTCCATGATCGCCGCCAAATCTTGAATATATCCTTCGTTCAAGTAGACGTCGTCTCCTGCGGTCATTAAAACTCATCATCGGTTTCCGTCATCGTGGCAACACATTGTTTATCATCCTTGTAGACATCATCATCGTCTCCCGTGATCACAAAAACCATCTCATCTTTTTCCGCGACAGCAGCAAAAATCATAATTTATTCTTCAGTCTTAAAGACATCATCCTCGTCTCCCACGGTCATGGAAACAACATAATCTTTTTCTGCGATTGCGGCAAAATCATGGATATATTCCGTCTACCGTGGTTACAGAAACAACATAATCTTTTTCTGCGATTGCGGCAAAATCATGGATATATTCCGTCTACCGTGGTTACAGAAACGACATAATCTTTTTCCCCGGTTTGCCAATATTGTTAATCTTTTCTTTTGTCTTCTAGACATTATCTTTGTCTCCTGCGGTCACGGAAACGATGTCAACTTTTTCTGCGATTTCAGAAAGATCATGAATATATTCTTCGGTCTTGAAGACATCATCTTTGTCTCACGGAGACAAAGTCATATTTTTCCACGATTGCGGCAAAATCATGGATATATTCTTTAGTCATGAAGACACTATCTTTTCCCGCAGCCATGCAAACAACATCATCTTTTCCTGCAATTGCGGCAAATCGTGAATATATTCTTCAGTCTTGAAGACATCATTTTCATTTCCTGTGGTTAGTGTTGTGCGATGCATTGACATTTCTATTCGATTCAGCGTGCATCGAAATCCCGATGCATCGATTTGGTCCCGATGCATCGATTATGTCCCGATGCATAGATAAAACTAATTTTGGCCTCTAAAATGAGTTTTAGATAGGGATGTGTCGATTATCGATACCACCGATACTTGGACGTTGGTATCGGTATCAAGAATTAATTGCCAAAAGTCGATTCTGACACCGACACCCGACAGGGATAGATATTAGGGGTGGGCGAGTACTCGACTGTTGAGTAATTACTCCAGTAGTTGGCAATACTCGACAGTCGAGTTGAGTAGTTAAAGATACTCGTGACTCGAGTCGAGTAGTAGACGTTAAGCCGATTTCGTTATTTTCATTGATATTTGACAAATAAATAGTAAGTTAGGAAAATGTTTAATAAATAGTAAGAAAGGAAAATGTTTGAGTTTTATTTAATCCCTTAACCCCTTTAAATATTGACATACTAGGCCTACTAATAATCGGCAACCTAGACATCGCTTGCGTCATCCATTTCAAAGACAGCGACAGCGCCGACAGCTGAGCTGACACTGGGTGAGGGTGAGTGGGTGATAGCCAGTGAGTGGTGTAGGTGTGCGAGTGCGATGCATCGAATCCCGATTCGATCCAGCATGCATCAAAATCCCGATGCATCGATTACGTCACGATACAGCTCTACTAGTAAAAAGGGATGATTCGATTATCGTCATCGATACCACCGATACTTGGACTGGTATCGGTACCAAGACTCGATTGTCAAAAGTCGATTCCGATGATACCGACATCTGACAGGGATAAATATTTTATTTTAACATTTATTTACTGTATAGCTACAGTATTAGTTTTGTAATCACGGTTAACAATTTTCATAGCCAACTTAGAAACTATCTAGTTCAAAACAGCGACGGTGCCGGTGACATTGTTTAGCTTCAGCATTGCACAACACAATCTACGAATCTACATTTCAAGATGTCAGACTCAACTCAAGAGACAACCGGCGCGCGAATGTCCTGCCAACACGAAATTAATTATACTAAACAATGTCTGTTTCAATAAGTCAGACATTAAGATGTATTATTTTTATTTTTAGTACAAAATAAATAACCTAAACACGTCGAAATTTTCAGTTTATTAATCCCTGCATTATACGCATCATTAGAAAAATTATATTCAACCATTAAACTTTAACATCGTCGTATGGTTAGGCTTGCTTTATATTGCGCCAAAAAGTAGATCCATATTTTGATCTGTACTATCTACCTGATTAAAGAGTTTAGTGAAGTTTTAAGTGCTACTATAACATAATGTATTTATTGAAAAATATTATAAGCCTTAGTCCGTGTCGATTTTGTAATGTTAAAACAATTGGTGAATGTTGACAATAAAAGTATGTAACAACAGTTCTCATTGGTCAGGAGGCGTCAGTGCACTACCATGTCAGCCAATCGACTTTTGTGTTTCAATGGAGCAAATGACGATTGCTTTGACATCGTTTAATGTTTTATTGTGGGTGGAAAGGGTAGCGATAAATATCGTGATTCGAGATCCGATATGTAGGACGTGTTTGTTTATAAATAATGAGTATTTAAGTATAAAAAACTAGGTTACAGACAGGTTCAAAACTTTGATTGTTCCGATCCATTGTTGACACCCCTACACGGAGGTTATAGTGACGTCGTGCATAAGGGCCAGGCAGGCCGGTTCACAGTGAATCCACTCTGCCGAACCTTGTTCTTGGTATAATCGGGAACATAGTCAAACACTTTTGTTACTAAATAAAACTATGAAATGTTTTTTAAAAGCACTCTTTTGGTCTTTAGGAGATTTTAGTCTCAAAACATAATCTTTATTGTAGGCTAAAAGTAGGGATGGACGAGATTGGATTTTTAGTTCGAGACGAGACGAGACAAGATTTTTTATTTCTCATAAAATTTCGAGACGAGATCGAGACGGAATATCCCTTCTCATACACAACGGGAAATGCACGTTCAAAATTTTTACCTGATTTTGTAACATTGTTAGATGACTGTTTAAATACAAAAATAATGATAATAGGCAAGAATATTTACAATCTTTTATTAAAAACATCAGCATAACATTTTTTTATTAATCACGCCTAACTTATTAAAAATGCCTACGATTAGGAAACAAAGTGATATCAGTTAGGATAGAGTTCAACTTATCCTAAAATAAAATAAATCATAAAATAAAAGCAATATTAATTTTTATAAAATAGTTACTTGTTTTGACTTTTTATAGTAATAAAACATTCCTCACACTGCTTACACTTAACAAAACTTCTCAAATGTTATTAAAGTAATATATTAAAATAATTAAAGTAATATTTACATTTAAAGAATTAATTAAATAAGAACGCCTTCGCAAAGGAAACACAACTACAACACGCTCCTGTATTGCGGGTATTGCATTGACTTTCTGCAGGCGTTCTAATTTTTTTTTATTTTTTTTTTATTTTTTATTCTCGTCTTGATAAAAATCTCGTCCAAAAAGAAATCTCGTCTCGTGTGACGAGATTTAAAATTTCCCGAAAATTTCCCGAAATTTCGAGACTTGACCATCCCTAGCTAAAAGTAAAACCTATCTATTGCCATACTTTGCTCCACAGACGTCGACATAGGCTATTATGCAATGTCTTTAAAAAATACCAGGGTTTCAGTCAAAATACTTTTGTAAACATTGACAATGTGCTGTTTTAGCACTGTTCATTCCTTGACCACGATCGTTTTTTCTCACTAGTAGAGAAAAGACTCTCCTTACAAAATGTATTTGTAGGCCAAGATGTTTGTAATTTTTTTAATGTATAACTGCAATTGCTTTTAAAAAGAAATACAAAAACTGACAAATGACTTAGATTAATACTGAGAAGAGTTTTTGTGGCAGTGACGTATGTCTCTTGTCTGCTCTTCAAGTTCACACATCTGGACTTCTTTAAAACAATTATAAGTGATAATTTTTATTAAAAATAAATGAAAAACTGTTGACATTGTCAAGGAAAAAAAGTTGAGAAATAAAAGTGTTAAAAATTTTGTTTGATTAGTTATTCTGTATTTCAATAATATCCTCATTTATGATTATGTTTTCAGCTAGACTTGGTGACTTTTTCATAGCTAAACAAATTTTGAAGATATATAATTAGTGAGAAAATGTCATTATATAGGATGTTAGTTTTTACTCACTTGGGTGAAAAAACTTACCTTACAAAGAGTATTTGTAGACCAAGATGTAGGCTAGTACGTAGTAAAAAAAAAAATTATAAACTAATGAGTTAACTAAGACAATTTCATGGAATTTCAAATAAATACAAAAACTGAGAAATGACTTAGATAAATACTTATAAGCCTATTTATAAATTAGAGGAAACTTTATTAAATCTCATGCTTTAGTCAAATTCAAACACGTACAGTAGGCCTATTTTAAAATAAACACTTAGTTCCATATTTTTGCAATTTTTTTGCAATTAATAATAAACCTTTAACACCAAAATATAAGTTTGATACACATACATATTGGGTTTTTTATATGGTATAAAAGTTTTTAACCAGGTCTATTTTTGGTGAATTGAGAAATGCTTTGTTCGTAAAAATGAAGATGGAATATATGTAAAATAAAATTGTTGATTTTCTCGTGAACTACTGGACTCGATACTCGAGTATTAGGGCTAATTACTCGACTCGACTCGAATCGACTCAAAAAAACACTACTCGCCCATCCCTAATAGATATTTTATTTTAACACTTATTTATTTTATAGCTATTAGTTTTGTAATCACGGCTAACAACTTTAGTAGCAAACATAGAACTATTTAGTTTAAAACAGCTACGGTGCCTCTGTTTAGCTTCAGCTGTTCTCTCTGTAGATGATAGTGCACAACACAATCTATATTTCAAGATGTCAGATATACTCAGACAATCGGCGCTCGAATGTCCTGCCAAAACGAAATTATACTAAAAATGTCTGTTTCAATAAGTGATGATTTCAATAAGTGTGGCACATTGGGTATAGTAATAAACATTGCGTAAAGGATTGTTGATTTTGTAATATAATATAATGATTGGTGAATGTTGACAATCTAAGATCAATCTAATAGATTGAAATGGCAACTGCCATTGCCATTTCTCCAGTGGTTGAAAAAGTGGACAGTGACCACAAAAATCTCTACTTTTGTGTTGTATATTTTATGTGTCTCTATGGACTTAAGCCTGCTTTCCTGTCAATTTCCTTAATAATTCTTGGCAAATGCCCTATCTTTCTATCAGATAAGATAAATCAAAGTATGTTACAAGAGTTCTCATTGGTCGACGCTGCACTGCCATGTCAGCCGATGGCACCCCCGTCATAGTAACATCGTAAGGGCCAGGCCGGCCGGTTCACAGTGAATCCACACTGCCCATTGCCCAGCCTTGCTCTTGGTATCATTGGGAACATACTTAAACACTTTTGTTATTAATTAAAACTATGGAATGTTTGTTAAAAGCACCCGAAGAAACATATTTTACTGCACAGTGCACACAATTCTTTTTACAATAGGGTAATGTAGGCTGTTATTTTTTAAAGAAAAATTTGTCGTCTAGTTGCACATTAACTTATTGAAAGTTTAATTGTATCAAACGTGCATTAAGGGGATTTTTGTCCCAAAGCATAATCTTTCTTGTAGGCTAAAAGTAAAACCTATCTATAGCCATACTTTTCTCCACAGACGCCGACTTATTTTAACTGCACCGTCATTAAAATACCAGAGTTTCAGGTTTCAGTCCAAATACTTTAAACATTGACTATGTGCTGTTTTTATCACAGTGTATTCCTTGTCAACGATCATTTTGACTCACTGGAGATAAGACTCTCCTTACAAAAAGTATTTGTAGGCCAAGATGTACGTAAACATTTTTAAATTTATAATGAGTTAACTTAAGTCAATTCATGCAATTGCTTTTACAAAGAAATAAAAAACACTGACAAATGACTGATAAGCCTATTTATAAATTAGAGGAAAGTTTATCAGATCTCATGCTTTAGTCAAATTCAAACGTTTATTTTAAAATTAACACTTAGAAACTTTTGTTTAGTAGAATTCTGCAAGCGACTGAGGGTGAGGGAGGGCATGTGAACCAGGCTTTACAACAAGGGCCAATTCTGCCAAACTTTCTCTTTTCATACCCCTTGTCCCGTTAGACGTTGGTGGGGAGGGGGGTACTTCATACTAAACACTCGCAGTAGAATTGAATTTTTGTGGTAGTGACACATGTCTCGTGTCTGCTCTTCTCAGCTCACACGTTGGCAGCTTTCGCGAAATTATAAGTGATAATTTTTTATTTGTCGTAAATGAGAGAAAAAATGTTGGCCTGTTCAAGGAAAAAAGTTAAGAAATAAAAGTTTTAAAAGTGTGGTTTGTTTCATTATTCTGTATTTAAAAGATATCCTCATTTATGAATGTGTTTTTAGCTAGACTTAGTGACTTATTTTCATTGTTTAAAGTGGAAATTAAGTTACCGTACATCATAAAATATACTAAATTTTATTTAATACAGGTTAAATACAGGGTTAGTTAATAATAATAAGGGTTAGGGTTGTTTTGGTATAGGCTTATTTTAATTGTTAGTGAAGTCTGGATTTCCGCACTGTGTGGGTTGCGGGGGTGTTGTTTACGCCACTGTATGCACATCAAATTAAAGGTCTTTATTAGACCAATACAATGCCACAAATGTGAGCTCAAAAGAAAAATTGAGTCAAATTAGCAGCCGTTCAAAGATTCAAAATTGCAAATTCATGTTATCTTTGATCAGCTGTCATTTTTGACTCGGTTGTATGATTGAGTTTGGATTTGTGGCATTGTATGTTACAAACAAAGACCTTTAACCCTTTCCTTTCGTATGTCGCCGCTACGACGACATTCACGTCTGACCGTTCCACATCGGCTTTTTTATTAATAAATCCTTTTTATATAGTGTTTGTATGTTTTGAACTTGTGTTGTATACACACTAAATGATTTCCTCATTCATTTTACATGTCCTTGGTAGCACGATAAATATGTATGTATTATTTAGTCAGCTGTGGAGTTAAGAATAAAGAAGTGACAATAGTAACCATGACGACCAAAATAAACAAATCTTTTGTAAAAATGTAATGTAACCCTTCTTGTAATGGCTGATTTGAATTAGTACAGTAACTAGATAACTAATGTTGATAAAGTATTTTACAAATACTAAAAATATGTTTTCTTTTTTTAAAAAGCCCCCCAAAACATATTTATTATTTTTTATAGTTTATTTTTTTTTTTTTCAAATTATGACCATACAAAAACTATTTTACGGTTATATTTATGTTTATTTTATGTTTTACTTGTGTACCATTTTATGTTGAATAAGAATCAAGCCCTCAAGTACAACACATAATTTATTTTAGTCACAATATGTAGAAAAACCCCAAAACATGTTCATTTTGCATGAAATTAAATGCAAGCTTATGGGACAACGAGGGGTCAACTAATCCAAGTAGAATGGGTTAATTTGAAATTAATTGAAATGAAATGAGATTTATTTCCTTTAGGCATTGTACAAATGCAATGGGCATCGTTAATATATACAAACGTCAAACACTATACAAAACTTAAACTAAAGAAAACCATGCGAAGACAGCACGCAAAATAGGCTTTTACTCACATTTTGCTTGAATGTCATATTGAATCGGTGCATATCGTATTTAAAGTGCATGAACTTGTGCTTACTCAAAAAAAAAAAAAGTTATTCTGTCTCCTAGTAGGAGACAGAAGATTAGAAGTCTCCATTCAGTATCAAGAATTATCTTTCACTGGCCGTCTATCTCATTACGACGCAGAGGAGATAAAATCACTGAATAATGTGTTAAAATTATTTTATTGCCAAGTAACTTTGTGTAAATTTTTGTAGCTCCATCCGTATTATTATTGTTTGATTAATTGTTCCAGGAATATTTTCCACCCTAAACAAAAAATAAAATTCATTAATATTGAACTTGAGTTAAATGAGAATTTAGAACAGATTATAATAGATAATTAATTAGAAAATCCTAATTTTTATGAATTACTTTACTTCTTTTTTAACTTTTCTAGGATGAGCAGCATTTTTTATGGTGGTGGAGGAAACCAAGAAGCAGGTGGCATAGAAGTTTTGTTGCAGGCGTAAGTTTTAGGATTTATATTGATAACTTATTTCCTGAAACTTCCATGTTTCTAGCGACTGACCACCCAAAGCTACCAGGTTTGAACTAGGGATGTTCAAATCTCACAATACAATCCTAAACATCTTATCCCAAAACTGTATTTTATTTGTAATTTTTATAAAATAAACATGGAATCTACTGCAAAGCTAAACTCTCACTATTATTTACTTTATTCTGAATAGATACTAAACTTTATGATTGATTTTCATAACTCTTAATGTCAGAATCGCAATAATGTTGTAACTCAACATGCTGTGATCATATTTTATGCGATCACATTAACAATAAATATTCTCTAAATGAATTAGATCCTGCACTAAAAATAGAATATGGACTTGAACACCCTTATTCAGAATACATTACGTTGAATGCCTTGAACATACAAAAGGTTTATGGTACTAGATATAGGCACAGGGTATACTAGATATAGATTTAACAATCATTTGATTCTCGAATCCAGTGGATAGAATCTATAGAATGTGGATCTATAATTATGATTTAGCGGATTTGAGATCAAAATTTAAATAGGGGTGGACGGGATTGAAATTTTAGTTTGGGAGACCTTGTCCAAGTAAGAAAAAAGTATTATGTTCGGGTTTCAAGTTTTGGTGTTAGATTTTTTAAGTTTTGGTTCTGAGGTTCGAAATTTCTGGTTTTGTTCATCACTACATAGTTTAAAATTAAGTAGCAGCTGACAGTCCGTTCTGCTGCGCTGATTCCTAAGTATTGGAGAACAATGGCCTTCATTTGCCCTTAGGTGGGATGGTTTCTCCATTAAACCTGTAATTCTAGCTGGATACTTTCCTGTGGTTTGGTAGTCTTCTGTGCTGCAGCTTTGATCAACCACTGTGATTTGGATATATCTTTTTCATCTTAGACTAGAAAAACAAAACTTTCAATTTTTTATCACAGTTTTTTTTATATCCTAATTACATTTCTTTTGCTTTCCCCGTCTATAAAAAATCTGCTATGAATAGCTTTTTCCTAGAGCATATCCAGAAATATCTCACCGTATTAGGTAGGTGAGCTTAGTTAAGAAATTCCAATAGCCTACATTAAACCAAGAACACTACTCTCTTGAAAGTGGGTTTTGGAAAATTAAAAACAAAAAAAAATCAAATTACTATGGCAACTGGATATTAGATGAATACAAAGCTTCTGATGTTGCCTTTAAGCCAAGACAACTCTCCCTTCCCTTCAACCAATAGCGCTACAGCATGAATTTGAAAAGATGCAATCATTCACGCTCCACCCTGTATACTTGTGTTAATTTGATTGTTCATTGACATTGATAAACAAACAATGTGTTTATTTTAGATCACGAGACCTGGCTCAGCAAATGGAGACTGAAAACCCTCAGTTGGTGGAGACACTTCGCCGCCATATGACTGCAGGGGGTGCAGCACCAGGGGTAGGCCCTGGTGGAGACGACAGAACTGGTGATAGTAGTGGGGATGGTGATCCTCTAGCCAAGGAAAACAACAAGGATCCCAAGCCAGAAGCATAATTATGTCTTATTCATACCAAAGGTTCTTCCTATTGCTTGCTATTGGATTTCATGTTTTATCGTTTGAGTTCACTTTTTTATTTTCCCAGTAAAACTTACATTTGTTGCCTTTTATAATTTATGGACATTTTGATTTTGAAGCAAGCATAAACACGTGTTAAGTTATAATGTTTTCCATAATATGTTATTGTTATTGTTTTTTTGTTACATCCTTGTTCTATACTCGGTTGATGCACAATGTATATTAAATATTAATTGAATTGTAAGCAAAACATTCACAGTTTTGATCTGTTTGCTTATTAGGATTTGAAGGCGATGTGGCATTTTTCTCTAAAACCGAAGCATGGAATTTTGTTTTATTTCAAGGAATGTAATTCAAAACAGTTGCTATGATTATGGCCGACTGAATAAAAATCTTTTGTTTAAAAACATGTAACTATCAATAATTTGATAATCTTAAGTATCAAATATTTTTTCACTCATACAATGCCGCATATTTTGTAATGTTGATAATCTTCAAATGGGTTTGTCGTTACTAAGAATTTAAAATCTAAGTTTTGTATTAAAGGTATTTGTTATGTTACTTCCATTAATACTGACATACTATATCTACCATACAAGAAAATGGATTTCAACGTCCTAACGATGAGTAACGTGATTCTACCTATCCTCAGTCTGGCTACGGATCCAAAATTTGAATAGCTCCTTTGAGAAGCTAGTGAATGCTGTTTCAGAATGGTATATCACTATTATTATTGCCACTATCTTAGCTTTGTATAGTGCCAGTGTTAAATATTTAATACTATTTTTGGATGTATGGATAGTGTAAAAAGTGTTGATACAGTCAATAAATGATTAAAAGTCTGAGAGTTGTTAATACTAAAACCTTTTGATCAAGTTTTAAACTATACACAATTAGCTCAGCATGCACAAAGAAATCAAATTTTTGAAAAAGGGATATTTTATTGAGTGAAAGTACTCAATGAAAAGATATACTCTTCCCTTGAATATTAAGTGATAAGATCCTCAAATTTTTGATGACAAATCTTTATTAAGATCTTTGACTATTAATTAGTAACCTGTTATTTTTGAGCTTGAGATTATCAGTCATGGCATGGGAAATAGTTCGTTTTCTAAATTAGTTATCCAACTAAAGAAATAAGCTAATAGTAAGGACTACAACAAATTAATATAATAATTGGCTCCTCTCAGCCAATTTGCGATATTAATTGCAATAAATCCTGAGCAATATTTTTACATTGTTTTTAATCTGTAAAAGATATTTCTAATTTCGTGATAACTTTTACATCGGTGACTTTTGAAACATGACGTCATATTATGTAAAACCCAGTTTAAAAGAATCCTTAATATTTAGAAATCAGTTAAAATATTATTATTATTTAATTTGCTCCTTTTGTACTGATGCTTATGAGAGAGGCCCCAAACTTTAAAATATCTCACAATTCCCAATAATATATTGTTTTATATTTTAAAATGTAAATGTTGAAATTTCTATCAGAAACTTTCCATCTAACCTTAACATTCACAAAATAATAAGACGTAGATAATAAGTGCTTATATATCTTGTGTAGTAGATTTTGTATTTATTTACGTCAAGATCTTGACATTTGAACTTCAATGCGCAATAAGGAAACTTTGTACTTAGCAAGGTCACTTTACCTATCAGCCAATAGTTTTAAATATAACAAAGGCCAAATTTTATCTATTGATACCAAAACAAAACATTTTGTTTGTTTTTCTTACACAATCAATTATTTTATAAAATCTCGCTGAAAAATTCAAATTTATTAATCTAATGTTGGCAGAAACTTTATTCTGAATTAACGGCTATTACATTTAATGTTTTTTTCAGGAACAATTGTCCTTCTGTTCATTAAAAAACTAATTTAGTATCAAGACAGGTAATGTAAAGAAATGCCCTCATATTTGTAAACAGTTTTTATGATTATAAAAAGAAATATGTAACCAAACTTATGTTGATAATCAGAGATTATTGTCTCAGATACATTCCAGTAATACAGTAGAACCTCTTTAATCCGAACTAATTGGGACCGGGGGTAGTTCAGACTATTGAATAGTTTGGATTACAGAACATATTGTTGTTTTTACATAACAATAGCTAGGAAAAAGTGAAAAATTAAGAGGTTCTACTGTACTTACTTAAAACGTTTGAAAATACTGGTTTACAGAAAATATATGGGGCAGTTGAAGTAGATGGTGCTTGGAGAATAAGAATGAACAAAGAACTACGAGAATTAGTACCAGACATTAAAAGAATAATACAAAGTTTGGTCATAAGTATTGAAAGGGTACAAGTTCATCCCTTGATTTTGAGTTAATAATATTCCAAGTGATCATAACTCCCATAGCTAAATTTGTTAACATTCTGAGCTCACTCACAATTAATTGAGAAGTTCCATGTAGAAGGGGCATATATGGTAAAATACACTTTAGTTTGAGGGCACAAGGTTCAAAGGTTGACATTAGTACAACATTCATACTTTGTGGTGTAGTCTTGTGCAAGCTGCCTATGCAGTTAGTATCTATGGTTACTTTATTTTACAAATATTCAAAGTAATTTAATTGTTGAGGAAAATTTAAACAAAAACCCTTGCATACGTCCTTTTTATAGAGACGAGTGTTCAGCCATGTTTTTTACATACCCTTTTTGAATAGACAGGTGAATAATTTGAATAAACAATGTTCAAATGTTCTTGCATAAGGTTTTTACTGTACCAGTAATAGTAATAAAAATTCAACACTGAACAAATTAAATCTTACAAAACTGGAACTAGGAAAATGGTAATTTAAACTAAACCGGTCCTTTTTTGGCTACTTCAAACATTTCTTCGTACCATTTCACTGTGTCTTCTAAAAATTTGAAGAGACTTCTCAAATCTTTCTCAGCCTCATTGATAAAGGCTCCATTACCTTAACCGGATGGCCGTGGGATGGCGTGCATTAGGCCTGGGTGCAGCAGAGGGTGTATGTGTGTGTGATTGTGTGTTAGGGAAATACATTTATTTAATGTTGTTACACCTATTTGTTTATTTCAATCTTTATTGTTTTATATTGTTAATGTTTATCAGTATTGTTAGTTTTTTTAGAGGTTAACTGTAAGAAAGGACCGTGAGGTCCTAAGTTCGCCTCAATAAAGAAGGATTTTCATTTCATTCATTCATAAAGAATGATTTTCATTTAGTGGGATACTATTTGGAGGAGGCAAATGTTCATCCAAGTCAATAGAAATGCCTTTTAGTTTGAAGTACATAAAAGGAACATAAGATTCGCTGTATGTTGAAGCTGCTGCAAGTCTACCTGTGGGTAAAAATGTCAACCGTACATATGATTTCATTTTGAAAACGCATTTGATTCTGTGTGGTTTATTAGACATCACAGTTACAGTTTTTAGACCTTCTGACCACTTTTTTATCACAGGTGTACCATGTTATAAGGAGTCGGGTTCTCTTGAGATTTCTCTAGAAGTTCAATATATTCTTGTAAAGTATGCACTTTCTCTTCTGGTATAATTTTTAAGGCCAAAGTTTTACGATCATTAATAAATAAATTAATTTCCTCTCACAGGAAACGTGTGGTTGACTTTAACTTTATACTTCTTTGCTAACCAGCTGCAAAAGGATGACATCAACAAGTTTTTATTCGGCCACCAGCGGCATCTGAGAGGAGATAGATTTCTTTGTATGAGGTTGAGCCGTTGAATGACGTCAAACAAAAAGGAGCAAACAGAGTCTGGGTTCTTTTTAGATTCAGTCTCTAAACAAATAGTACAAATAGCTACTGTCATTGTGACAATGAAAATTGAACAAGTAAACCCACATTAGTCTTGTACAAATTAAGATGTCTCATTTGTCTTTGGGAGGGGTAGATTCTGCGTAAATTCGAGTAGCCGTAATTTTTTCACTACTTTTTTTTTTTTAAAGAGGTTGGCGGCCTCTTTTAACCTTGTATTTGCCCGTCCACATAGACTAAGCGCCCGTGCGTGGATCGTTTACAGCAAAGCAAGGAGTGAGCCGGTACAGTACAAAGGTGAACTGTACTGATAAAATGTTATCGGCAGTGACCAGGATCCGAACCCACGACATCGCTGCCATGGGCCCGAAGTCCGCGACGCTACCGACTGAGCCACCGACTCACTTGCATCTTTACTTTTTGTAACCAAGTCATTGTTAATTTTTTTATGAGAGCAATATATTTCCTTAAGTGAATTTCATATTGGACCGTACATGGATCATTTGGATTACTTCTGACTTCTGAGTTTCTTGACACTCCGAACAAAAGTCACATAAATCCGTTTTTGGAACAGAAAAACCCATAGTTGGTTTCTTTTTGGAAAAAACCTGGTATTGTAAGCTCGTATTTTTCGTCCAGCTTCACTAACACGTCTTTCTTTACAGAACTGCTTGAACATTTCTTACAACTTATTTATGTACAGATTAGGATAAAAAAAAAACTTTTACTGGATTTTTTCCTAGGGTAATGTGACTCACGGCGGGGCTAGGTCAATACCTAGCCGTGAGTCTAGGTTCACATTTTTTCCACAATTTCAATGAATGTTGGAGGAAATTAAGAAATATGTTCTTTGGCAAGATCCCATATAACTTACTGGCATCAATGTTGCGAGGTCTGTTACTGTGGGTACCCTGCCCCTCCCCAAAAGATTGACCAGTTAAAACTTTTTGTTGTATAACTCGCAATCTCTTTTCTGAAATTTCGTATAGTTCACCAAGGGCGGCTCCAGAGGGCAGGCCAGGTAGGCCCGGGCCTACCCAAAATGTTGGTAGATATTTCAAAATTATAAAGAAATGTAATTATATTCAAATAAAGGGAAAGCATTCAAACTATTTATTAAAATTTTAAAGTTCCCTCTTTTTGCTCTTCAAACCTCTCGTCCCCAGATCGAACTCTTTCTTGATCCTTGTCAGGCCTACCCAAAAAGATATTCCTGGATATTGCGTGTAGTACGCGCAAAAAGATCTGACAAACAGAAGTTTCAACCCTATTAAGTTTGGTTTTGTAAGACCATGCATTATCTCTGGATCGTTTTAGGTAAACTTGATGTGTAGCAGGAGTTATGTTGGTCATGCACCCTTGCCAACAAAGTGTGTTACTGCTCATTTGAGCCATCGCAGAAAAACTGAGTGAAAACTGTGTTTTCTTGATCGTTAACACACAAATTATTAAAACATTAATTTTTGCAAATACAAAGTGCAGTACATAGTTTGGTCAAGTATTTAAAGGTTACAAGGTCATCCCTTTATTCCGAGTATTTCCAAGTCTTCATAACTGTCATATCTAAATTAATTAAAATTCTGAGCTCACAATTTACAAACTGTCAAGACACAAACAGTAATTTCGGGATTTCGAGTGATTTGCATTGATAGTTGTTTAAGGATTTTGTTAATGAGTCTGTTAAAAGAGTTCCCATTTTTTTTAGGAAATGTCCTACCTTTGGTAAAACCTCCTACTTCCCCTGCTTTTGGTTTCAAAAACTTTAGAGCATTTTTCAATATGTCAATATGTTCAATTTTGTTATGTGTATGTCATTGTACAGAAATATTACCAGGAGTAGTCTAGATGGAAAATGATGTAATAATTTGAAATATAAAAAATACTGAATACTGCACAGATTTGATTGCCCAGTGCAACTTTTTTAATTAGGATATGATATATAGACTATTACTATATTTTATACAAAAAAAATCTCCAAACTTACATTTTAGTGAGTGGGGGATGTACTAAGGACAATGGCCTGTTATGTTCATAGATCACCAGCATTGTGAGTTAGGTTATTTTATTTTGTTACTTACATTTTATCATGTTAT